ACTGCCTGGTTTCCCTAGGATTGTTGTGTTTTTCTAAATGGGGAAGACTGACTCTACCCTGAGGATTTTCCCTGGGGATATCAGACCTGAAAAAAGTCATCAGGACCCTTCAGAGTAAAGGAAGTTTTCCAAGGCTTTCAAGATCATGCCCCTTTCTCTCCCTGGCATAGGAAAGGAATGGAGAAAAACATGTTGAAGATCCAAAGATCTTCTTCCAGACAAGAGGGAATGCAGAACACTTCTCTCCTTGCTTCAACAGTTGTTCATTTGGCCCACCATTACAGGCCTCCTCAGTTCTCTGGACTTTATTAATTATCTTGCATGATTCTTTTAACTCTGATACAACTACAAGCATTTCACAGTATTATTGTAGCCATGCATGGAGGGTGCCATCACACAAGTCTCCAGTGTGAAATGGTGAACACTGTAGCTGTGGAGCCAGAGGAAGACTTACCTTTTTTTGGGTTTTGTTATGTGCGCAACTCAGCTGCCACACCCACGGCAAAAGACAGCAGGACTCAGGGGCATATGCTCTGGGTGGCATGAAAGTCTGTTGGTGTGTGAAACACAGCAAATATTCAGGAGGTTTGTTTTTCCAGTTGAATGCTTCCTCCTACTGAGAAGAGGAAGTCACTTTTACACAGTGTAGAGCAGTTGTCCCCATGCAGGTCAGTCCTGCTCTGCACAGAGGGCAGTGCTGGCCCCCAAGCAAACTGCTCCCACCTGCTGTCTATCACAGTCATACAGCTCCTAAAGGAATGACTCAGCACAAGCCTCTCCGAATACTTCAGTTAAAATTCAGAGACCACTGAGCAGACTAAATGGCAGCCCTTTGCCAATCAAGATCTTTTTGGTGGACAGGGATAGAGGAACCCTTGTTTGAATAGTTTAGCAAGATGGTCTGAAGGGACAACATCTGCAGTGCAGCAGCCTCATCTTGTGGTTCTTCTAGCACAGCTGGAGCTGTAAGGCAGCTATCCTCAGCTCTACACTCTCCCATTTGCAAATCATCTTAAAGATACCATCACTCTAGCTTCTTATGAAAATCTCCCAGCACGGCTGATGGATGGAAGGAGAGCCCTTTGGTGCAAAGTTAGTTGCTTGCATGTAGCCACATGTGGCAATAGGTTAAGGAGACTCTCCTCTGATCTTCTGGGCTACATTGTGGAGAGCAATGATATACAAAAAAGGGGAGTGATAAACAGCTGGGACTGTAAATTCTTCAGCTTGTGCAACTGGATCTAGAAAAGGATGTCTGTCTGTAATGTTTCTTTAAACATCATTACAGAGAAGTGTCAACAATTTAGGCTTGTTTTAAATACTAATATTAAAATTCACCCTATCTGTATATTAACGCTGGCACTTTGTAGGTCAGGCTTAAGACTCCTTAAGGTGCAGGCACTCAGAGGATTAAGTACTGCCAATTTGTAAAGCACTTTCAACAGACATCACACTACTAAGTACCAGGTGTTATTTCTGTTTGAAATAGCCAGGTTTGGCTTACTGGTTCCTAGGGTTTGCAAGGGGAAAGGATGGAAGGACAGGGCAAGCCTCAGCTGTGTTACAGTGCACTTGTAGCCCATCTTGAGCTTTGCATTCCCTGCTGCAGACGAGCCCAGAGGAAGGAGAGGAAACAGCACCATCAGGGATGACTGATGACAGGGAAAGCATTTGCTGTCCTCAGTGAGAGGATCAAGTGCCAATAAGCAGCCTCCAGAGGATATGAAGACAGATTTACTCCTCCCCTCCCCCACAGGGACTTCTCATGGCAGCTCGAGGCCCCTCTTTGACTGCGCTGTGATGACAGGGCACAGCTGAGACCCCATTAACATCATTCCTGCTTTGAAACATTGGTACCAGCAAATCTGACTGACCAGAGATATACGAGCAGCTCTGAATGGGGTCAGGCTCCTGAGCCTCTATGTGAGTCTGCATCCACCTCAAAAAAAGCAGTGAGGGTTTGTGGAACTGAATGACTGGAAGTAAAATATTCCATATAGGAACAATAAGTATGTGTGGTAGGCATGAAGGCACAGAGCCCAGACTTCATTAAGGTAGTTTTTATATTTTGAAAAGCAATATTAAAAAACACTGGAAAATGCAAGATAAACATAACAGTTGCTTCTACAAGTTTTAACCTTGTATTGCTTGGCCATTTTGACATATAAATTATTGCTTACTAGCTCTCATAAATACACGACACAATAATATGTACAGGCAAACAAGCATGAAATATGCAAAGGAAAACATTGGCAACATTGATTCTGGCAAATCAGATTATTTCATACATACCAGGTCTCATAATGGTGGATAACTACTAGCTGTAGTCCCTGAGAAGTCAGGTAAATACCTTGATTTGGGGGCTTCTATTTTATTACTTTTAATGCAAGCTGACACCATTATGGCACTCAGAGAGAACAGGCAGGTGTTCTTACCTCAGCTCATTGACTTCATCCCAGTGTTTAACAGTGTATAAGATGACAATAAATAGGCTATGCAAATAAATATTACTCTGCTAAAATGTTTAGTATTTACATCTTTCTTTTTTTTTGCCACTGTTATGCAAATGAAATTTATTACTATCCAAGATGGTGCTGGAATCAACAAGCTGTGTCATAGAAACATCTAAATTTGTTGCAACAAAATCCCACATCAAAGAGGTAAAAAGTGACATAGCTCCTTCCTTTGTTATGTATAACTGATCCTCCTAGCTACTATAAAAAAATTGCAGAGTATTTAAGCCTAGGTGTGACTGTGATAAACCAAATTTACAAGATTTATTAGATTTTATCCTATGTAACCTAATTGCATTATTGAAGGATGTAAAAAAAAAATAAATCACAATATCACCAGTGCTGGACCCTGGCAGAGGCTCTATAGTATTATCCTTCCCTTTCACAGGGTTTACTCGTAGTTCTTCTCCCAGCCACCTCACCTTCAAACTGCTTGCCAGTCTGCAGCAAAGCTCTGCAATACTTCACCTGTTGAAAGAAGTCTCTGAAGAGCCTTTTTTTAAATTAGACATTAGCTACAGGTTAAGGCTATTTGCCTTTCTTTTATGGTAACAGTTAAAAGGTCCATATTTTCAACGTGAAATTGATGCAGACATGTTGGACCCTGCGACCAGAAATTTGTATCCAAGTTATACAGGCCACTATAAAAACTAGTTTTTAAAGTTACAAACAGTAGTCTAACATAGATAACAAGGTTAATTCTGGCTATATGCCTTCAAACCGATTTTATGCCAGCTGCAAGGGGTAGACAACAGCCGATTTAGCGTGAAATTACAGTGGTGCAGATAGCCAACACCTCAGCTGGCTTGAAGCCTACTGGTACAAGTTAACCCATCCCTTTACTTCATTTTGAATTGGCAGAGTGAGGAGCCTTCAAGGTCACTCTAGCAGGCTTTCAAATCAAAGCCACAGCACAGAGTCATTGTTATTCCCCCCCCCTTTTGTTTCCTTGTCTTTTATTCTTCTCTGGCATCACTGTTGCTTCATCAGCAGTAACTACCCAAAACTATCACAGAGCCAAATGCAGTGAACTGAGAAACAGTGTCACTTTCTCACCCTGAATACCTTCTAATCCTCCCTCTCCCACAGATTTCAAGAGAACAATTTGTGGACTAAAGAGTTACACCACATGAGCAGAAGCATGGTCTACGTACAGGCTCCTAAAAATAATGCCACACTAAAAAACAATTCACAAGGGGGAGCTCAAAACTCAGGAAACTACCCAGGTAATGCAGTTAGGGTGGGAATTCTGAGTGTTGTAGCCAGAGGAAGAACTGCAATAACACAAGCAACAAATTGCATCTGGTTTTTGTTCTTACATTGCAAAAAGGTGCCCACCACAGCTAGTATCTTCATCTGAACAGTTTTGGTCTGTTTGCACTAAAGAGTTATTTACAATATGTGCAGTCACATCTACAGAAGAACATAGGAAATTTTTACTCCATGGCCAGCAAGAGTTTATTTTTTTTTCTTTTTACTGGGTAAAAAGAAGACTTTTTTTCTAAAAAAAAAAAAAATCATATAGTATTTGATAATAATAACAAAGTACAAGCAAATACATTTCTGAAACATCTGTTTCCTTTACAATAGATCTATACAATATTTCACAGATGGGAAAACTGAATGCATTCTACAGATTCCCCCACGGACTACTTGTTAAAGCTGCTTTTTTAAAATCCCTTTAAACCAGAGATAACACAATGATGAAGAGCATGCTACTTCAGTATTCCCATATTTTAGTAAATGAGCATTTTCTTGGAAGTCTTCCTCATGTGGAAAACATACAATAGAGATGGGCAAGCGATGCTATGTATCCTCCCTGCTGTGCAAAAGGACTGTTGCCATGAGTCAGTGTACAAACACGTGCCAGACCGTGCAGCACTCTGCACACTGCCTGCAGCATTCACTAGGTTATTTCAGGGCAACTTCTTAGCACTGAAAACCAGAGCTATGGTTATGATGGTGCTTGAGATGTAGGTCAACTGTAGACAAGACTTTAGAAATGCTGCCTCAGTACATGCCCAGATGTAGTACTTGTAGCTACATGAGAACTGGCTAGGAGAAGGGTATGAGAGGGACAAAAGCAGTAAAGGGACCCTGATGCTGAGAGCTCAGTGTGTATGCAGGCAATTACAGTGGTACCCTGTAAGGTGCACCTTTCTGTTCTTTAAAAACTAGAAGCATGTGCAAGTTAGGTGAAGTTTTACCTGCTGAAATGGTATTTCCAGGAGATGAGTTAGGAATATAGGTGGATCTAGGCATTGCCTCTGAATAGACATCAAAGAGGCTGTAATCCAAGCAGAAAACAAAGCTTCTGCTATAATAATTTATAACGTGTTAACTGCAGGACCCAGTGCTAAATCTGAGATAACTGAAAAGGAAGAAAATAACATGTTTTCAGTATACAAACAACTGTGTCCATGGATTGCAATGAAAGTGGATTGGCTCTTACAGTGTGGATGAACAGGTTCTTAAAGGGACCGTAACAGCATGGACTGTTTACTGCTGATCTCCACAACACGACACACACTTGAGTTTCATCTGGTTGCGCTGCCTTGTTATATTCCCATCCTTGGTTGTTTGCACTTATCTCAAATATGATGCTCCAGTGGACTCAGAGGAACTGCAGAGATTGCACATTATTTTTGGCAACAATACTTTGGCAGCCTTGAATTAGTGAGGTACATATGTGGTGAACTGGGAATCAATCCCCTTGCGGCATGTTGCTTGCTGAAATGTTTTGCTGCTGTGACATGATGATTCCTTTCATTCTAATACTGGCAGAATCTGCATTGAAAGCTACACAGGACCAAACAATATTTTCACAGAAACCAAGCTCCTGAGTTCAAAGGACGCTGCTCCGCTCCCTCACATCCCAGTGACCAGTGGGAATGGCACCAAGCTTGCCCTGCAACTCTGTGAGCAGCTCCTTTGCTGGCTCTTGCCTGATTTTCCTGCGCATGTTGTGTGAGCTACTGATAAAACTCAGTAAACTGTTCTTATATAGGGAAGCAACATGCTTGGCATAAACATTCACTTAATTCAAAGTGCTGCAGTTACAAGGTTATAGGAAGCTGTGTACGCTCACACTCGTGGCTCTATCCTGTGAGAAAGCTCAAACAGAGCTTGCTGGTTGTCGATGACATGCAGGTGATGGACATATGGCTTCAGCTCATGATGCTCTTTCGAAGGAACTTCATTGCCTGCAAGACAGGAGAAAGAGGATGGATCAGAAAGCTGTGCCTTGCCTGCTTCTCTGTCCTGTGTTGCAAAGTCACTGGTGTGCCATGTGTCAGGTGCTAGACAGTCACAAGAAAGACAGACAGTAATCTTATGCAAAACCTTATGCATTGCACTTCAACAGTAATGCTGTTTAAGTGCAATACATAAGGTAACAGCTTGATAGAGAAAAGAGAAGAAATACATACGCAGTGCTGAGCAGCCAGCATGCACAAAGAAGGGACAAGTGGACAGCAAGAAGCTGACTCTTCCCAAGAGGAAGACTTACTCCTGCTGGCAGTACAGGCAGTCCAATTCTCTGTTAAGGGTTTCCTTTGTGCTGCTCTTGCAGCACAGCGGAGCCTTAAGCATGGGTGGGCATGCTTAACAGGGCCTTAAGCATGGGTGGGCATGCATGGGACTCTAACTTTTAAAAAATCTTAACACAAGTTCAGAAGGCAGCAGGCCCTGGATGAGTGTCTTCAGAGCCGGTGAAAGGTGACAGCACAGCAGATGGATATGAAAGCTCTTCAAAGTTGCTCTGACAGGCTCTCACGTTTTGATCTGTTATGCTTTTGATTTCTGATCTAGTAACAGAGGCAAGAGTCATGCTGTCATTTCATGGGAGTTTACACAGCAAGAGGAATTAGCTGTGTAACAGACAAACTGAAGGGTGGCTTCAATGGCAGATGTTTTCTGTTACAAGCTTTATGCCCATCATGGGCTTGTGGGAACTCGTTGTCTGTGAAATGCTCCACCATGGCTGGTACTAGCAGAAGTGGAAAAGGAAAAACTAAGCCCATGGCCACGAGATCCATCAAGACAGGCAGAGAAAGCAACACTGATGACTGCTGACAAATGAGCAAAGGTGGAAAGCTCGCTTCTAGTCCATGTCCTCAAGGAATTTTTAATATTACCATAAATGGACAAAGAAAACTCCTCAAAATTCCCTGAACCAATTAGCTTAACTCACACACTTCCTCCTTCTCCTTTGTTTTATTATCACCCTTTTCTCCACACTCTCCAGCTATACGAGGTTTCCAGGAATCAACCATCTCTTGTTTCTGAAGATCACTGCATGATGCTGTGTGGGTAACATGGGATGTGAATGCAGCCAGTTCTGCATGTGGCTGCTAACAGGGTTCCTGGGCAACTATTTTAAAGAGCTATTTTGGAGCAGCCATCTAACTTGAGCAATGTCAGAGAGAACAGGACAATGCAATAAATCTGTGTCAGAACACAGAAATGACCTTTTTGTTCTGAGGGAACAGGATCTCAGCAGCTGTGCTGAACATACTGAAAAACATTTGTATTTCTCATTAACACCTCAAATGACAAAAGCTTGAATTACGTTATTTTCTAGGGCTGTTTTTTCTCACTTTGGAAATGCTATTATTTGTTTTCAGCATTTAGGACATAAACATGTTATTTCCATTAAAAAGGCATTTCAGTCTTACTTGGAACCTAACCAGTTTCTAATCCAGAAACACTTTGGCCTGCAAGCTTAATACACATGATACAGTTCATAAACAATAATAATATTCCTTGCTTAGTTTTGTTTGAATTCTTTCCTACAGTGAGATGCCTGCTGCTCTTAAGCCAATCTGGGAATTGATGCAGTAGAAAGACTCACATTTCTGAGAGCAAAATAAGCCCACTAGAAAAGGAAACTGTCCATAAAGTCTCAATAAATATTCAGTGAATTCATTTCATGCCTAAATGAATTTAAGGAAAAAAAGTGCCTACAGGGATGTCTGTATAAACTGCTTTTTAAATGCCAGCTTCACAATAAATCAAGTCTGTAGCAAAATAAAATAACAATCACGTACTTCAAACTACCAGATTATATGGTAAATCTCAGGTATTAACCTTGGATTTCTGTTGCAAGACTTAGAAAACCACTTGGAAAAAGAAAAGGCAAAAATGTGATGAAAGATGTGCAGAGAAGGTGCAAAAAAACCCTCACACCATTAGAAGGAACCAGTGCTACATTTTATAATGCCAAATAAGAGATATTTTCATTTACAGGCATGGTTTGGATTAACCAATATTTCCTTCATTATCTGAAAAAAAGATAAAAGGCTCAAGGCACATCTTGCTCCTTCTCTCCCTCTCCCTCTCTTATACATATATCTCAAAATAATACAGGAACCATAATTCTCAAAGGTACCTGTATTTATACACAAAATGATTATTATTCTTTTTGCTGCTGCCCATACTGACAGCTGTTGAAAATTCAGCTGGAAAAAAAAAATGATTCAGACTCTGTTTTCCCCAAGGCTGCAGCACAGTTCTGAACTCGTCTTTGAAAAAGAGGTTTTAGTGGCCTCAATAAATGACATGTTTACTAGGTTTGGCTTAAAAACTAACCACTTCCTAAAGTAGTGTTGCTTTTGTCCCCTTCCTGTATTTAACCTCTCCACAGAGAATAAGAAACTCTGAGAAGGAGAAAGTGAGGTTTCTCCTCTGTGAGCAGTGGAACACAGCAAGCTGGGTTCTTCTGACTTGGTCCCTTAGGGTTGGATTCTCTGGAGGCCAGCAAGGCAGAAACAAAATGAAACAAAACAAAACAAACAAACAAACAAAGCAAATAAAAAGAAGTCTTCTATGCAGCTGAGGCACTCACAACTGTTCCCATCAGCATAGATCCTCCAGTGTCTAAAGCAGACAGACTTTTATTTGCAGCTTCCCCTAGCACAGGTACTAACACAACACCCCCCATTTCTTTCTACTCCACTTTTGTGAAACCCACAGAATCTTCATACCTTCTGAACTTCTCCAATTTTGTGAAATGACATTAGGAACCCAAAATAAGCAAACAGTTGTTCTTGGTGAAAAGCCAAGTGAAAAGCTGTGGTGATTAATGCCATCTTTTAGCTACTGGAAGCCAAGACAGCTGTGAATCCATTACCAAAACACACAGACTGGCAGGAGATTGAGTTAACTTGGTCATAGCTGGGAAAGGGAGAAACAGCAGCATACACCAGAGGCCTCCATTATTAAGTACAGCTGGCACAGATCTTACACAGGGTTTTTAAGAGGTAGTAATTTTTGTAGGAAAATAATTTATTAAAGTTTGGAAGCTGTTTCTACAAACATTTTGTAAAGTAAAACTGCATCCATTTCTGTTATGCTGATCTTCCAACAACTATGCCCTCTCTTGCCAATTGGTTAAATAATTGTTGTCCACATTTTGCTGCTGTAGTAAACATGAGCAACTGAAAAGGAAACAGAGGAAAAATACCAAAACAAAACAAAACAACCAACAAACCCTCAAGGGCGTACAAATGCAAAATAAGTAGGAAGTTTTGGCTACTCACCAAATTGGTTATTTCTGCAATGTCTCAAAGACCGAACAGTGTCTGCAATCATGTGCTGCAAAGAAAAGGCAAAAAACATTAGTGCGAAAACCTGAGACAGATTCTGTCATTAGAAAAGCCTGAGAAATCTCCTTGCCCTACACTGTACAGCAAAAAGAAACTGTAATAAGGTAGAAAATGAAGACAGCAGGAGAAACTTTGCTCTTTATCTTAGTGATACCATTTGATGAAACAGGGTTACTCTAGATGTCTTCTTGGTACCACCCTGATTAAATGAGAACAATTCCTTAAGAGCCCATGGGAAGTGGTCATGGAAAATAATCAAACAATTGCTCATTTTTGTTCCAGTGACTTTTATTAAACTGAAAGCCTACAGCAAGGAAGTCCTGTGGACTGGGTGAGTCCTCAGAGCTCAACCCCAGCTTTAGTGCATTATCCAGGATATTCTGTAGTCTGCAACCTCTCCGTCTGTCTCCACATGTTGTATAATTAGACTATAAGCCTCTTTGTGGCACAGACTACACCCCTTGGCATATACTTGTATAATGCCTAGCACAATCAGGTACCAGTATCAGCTAGGCAGTTTTCTGCAGTATAACCAGCACAAAAAAAAAGCAGCCCGTAACCTAAGTGCTGCAGAGCAAGCACCCTGACATCTCCGCAGGCATGTACCAAATAAGACTATCCTGTAGGTATGCTATTTTAACAAAAGCTGGTGCTAACAGGGATATTGGATCTTCACTTAGATTACGCAGAAGAAATAAAGGATTTAAGTTCAGTTTGTCATTCAGGCTCAGGTCTTCGACTTACAAAAACTGGGACTGTTCACTACAAATCAGTGGAGTGAGTTCATTTTCCCTAGATACTACCCATAAAGTTCTTAAACCATTACTTTTCCTAATTTCACTGCTTCTGTGGCAAGTCTTCACCAAATCTAGTAATTAATTGAAGCAAATTGCAGTTATCAGGCATGATCTGATAGCTCATGCAAACAGCTAATGCTCTTCTCATATCTCCCTCAAAAATCATCAGAGGTGGAAAGGATTAACTCTCTTGAGCAGACTATGTTTAAGACCAGAACGATGCAGAACAGCTCATCTCTCAACCCCCGGGAGAGGTTTACAAGGCTTCTCCCCAGAAAAGCTTATCACAAGAGCACGTTTAATGGAAACTTCATATTCCTTTCATCAGTGAATCAAAATAATTTTTCTTGTTACCCGCTGTGATTCATTTGCCATGAAATCACGAATCTCTTGTGCTGATGTCCTTGCACTGTTTATAATGAAGTTCTAATGAGATGATCTAGATTTCCTGATCAATAGTGTGAGTACTGGGAGAGCTACAACTTCCACCAATGCTGCTACTGTGATGTTTTCCAGCATTTCCCTTCGCATTTGGATTTTAGAAGTAAGAGAGGCCCTACTATCACAGACACTGTAACTTTTTGCTGTTTCTTCTTTGTAGTCAGTCAGTGTGAGGGTCCATCCCAAGATCAGCTTCTGGAGGTGATGCTCTGGTAAGGGAAGAACCTCTTTGTGGAACACTTCAAGCAGAATCCCAAATCTCCCGGCTTTAGTAGCCTAATTAGGAATTTCTCTCTGTTTTCAGCTCTCTGGGATCCAAAAGCAATACAGAAAATCAGCCAATTTATCTGCAAAGCAAATGCTATCTCCTGGCTGTTTAAACAGGTGCGTGCATACTGTTAGTGTGATGAGTAACACACCTTTAACTGCAAAAACTCAGGCTTGAGGGTTGCATAGATATTCGGGGGGTGGGGGTTGAGAACCCTCAGCTGCAGCACACAGTCCTTACAGATGAAGGTGCTAGGTAAGCTGGTGCTATCAAAAATGGTAATGGCCACTGACCTGTATTAGAGTTTGCTGAAGTGTGTATAAGATATGTCATTGCTAAGATATGGCTGGTGGCTGACTGGAGAAAAAACCCTGAAGAAACCGCCTTTCGGTGGTTTCTGACCAAGCAGCTCAGAAAATACCATGGAAGCACCTTGAGATGTAACAGCATAAGACCATATTTTCATTTATTCCTTCAGATTCAGTTGAGGAAGTAAGTATGGTACCAAAAATCAACCTAATGCTCCTGTAGACTAGATTTTACCTAAAATGGAGTTAAATAAGCCACAACAATCCCTTCACTTTTTGCTAAAGCTAGGTAACATTCCTGAGACAAAAGATCATTTCACTTTCTTCTCTTTGCAAATTTCCTTCTTTATATTTTGAATTAACTTTGTCTCCACTGCAATCACATCATGTCAAATCAAATTCAGTCATGGTAGGGTTGTTGAGGTCCAAGAATATAAAAGAAGCGGGGACTGTAGGGAGAAATAAGATCTTTTATTAAACCAACTAACATAGTTGGAAAAAATAATGGCTCAAACTGACAAGTCCTCCTTCAGACGAGATGTTCAATGCAAAAATGAAATATTTCAAAATACTGATCCAAACAGAGACACAAGAAACCATCTTTGTGTTGATATTCATAAGTAGAAACTCTACTCATTTATAACAGTAAGTTCCTTCCCCAAAGCAGTAATCTGCTATGGTAGAATAATTCTTTTATTCTTTTTCTGCAACAGCAAATTTGCAGGTGAGGTTCAGTGGCTTGATCCAAACCCAGCAGGAGTTAATGTCAATAGTAATTTTTCTCAGCAAAGGCCAGAAAGTGCTCAGCACTTCAGTGTTCAGTGCAGAATACCAAGGAAGACATTGTTCTTTGGGACAAAGCCCTTATAATTAGAAAAGAAACATGGCCTGATGTATATGTGATAATGTGTGATGCATCTTGTTAGTTCATGCCCACTGACTAAATCCCTTAACATTCAAATGAGCCAGTGTAATACCAGTGCACTGCCTGAGTTTCCACTACACTGATATTTAAATCTCTCCTAAGCCCTTACTTCCTAAGCTTGCACTATTGCCTTCATTCATATGTACACAGGGCTGCAGGAGACAGCTCGTTTCTGAGAGCGTGATCTGACTAATAATTTGGAGGAAGTGTCAATCTGAATAACCCTTACCCCACGACCATCACCTCAGACTCTCCCCCCTGCCATTTAAAATGCCCATTATCCATTTGAATGGAAAAGGTGAAATCCTGGCTCACTGAAGTCAATTAGCAAAGCTCTCACTGCCTCTGGAGACACAATGGTGACAGGAAGGACTGGAATTCTCACCCAGCAAGCCCAGCATACATTAACCATATACATGATTAAACAACAAACAAACAAACAAACAAGGTCTGCTAAGACTGAAACAAGAATTAGATCCTACATATTCACTAAACAAATATATGGGCCAGTGGGGGGATTTTAGTAACAATTATTGTGCATCAAGGGCTAGTTTAATTTACATGTTAATTGGATGTACTTCCAAGAGGCAATGAAGAAGAACATGCTAATGAGTTTTATGCAAACACCTAAAGGTCAAATAGTTAATGGACTTGGGACAAGAAAACCCTTCGTTAAATGCAAATCAGTGTTCTCCTAAATTCTGCAACAAGAAAAGGTACAGAAATCAAATAGAAAACACAAAAAAAAGGAGCTCAGGTTCAAAAGTCAAACTCTACATCTGGTTGTAAGTTGAAAGACAATGTACATTATGATAGGATGTGAAAAAAAGTTCAACATCTGGTTCATTAATAACTCCATGGTTGCATGTTCATTCTCAAACAAGCGTAAACACATGGAGAAAATAGTTGGGAAGAATTCACCAGGCACAGCCATCTGTCCTGTGGCATGTCTAGAGCAATTGGGAAAAAACATTTTGGTTTCTTGATCAAATACTACGGGCCAACAAAAAAAAAACCAAACCAAACAAACCACCACCATCTTCACCACCAAAATAATCCAAACTTCTCTACTCCATCACTGTTCAGATATACAAATTTTGGCTTTGTGCTGTGAAAATATTATATAAAAAAAAAAGGCAAATTAGGGAAATCAAACCTCTATCAGTAATATTATGCCAGAGTAGATGTCATATGATGTCTAGAGTGAATGTGGCCAAAGATACAATGTCAGTAAGTGCCCTTATGCATAAAAGTTAAAATAGTGGTATTTACAGTCAGTTTAATTCAAATTTCAGGCATTATTTTCTTCATCATCTAACCTAGATCAAAAAACTTCTCTTTCATTCAAAATCCCTGGAATTACCATATCAGTGGCAGGGGATAAAGCAGAGGAACCTTTTCTTAAGTGAGAGACTAGAGAAGCCTTGAGAAAAAAAAAGGAATGAAACATAATTCAGAGAAAGCTGAAGCAGGAGAACTTAACTGATAAGAAATAGTCCACGAGGTGGTGCAAAGGAATTGATCTCACTCAGTAAAAAATGAGTGGACTGTGTGATGGCCATTACTGGCTTAGACATTTTACAGAGAAGTGGAGGAGGAAGGAATGAGAAGAGAGAGGAGCAGAGGAAAAGGGCAGGGGAGATAGACTGTTGACTGTTTTCTCATGCTTGCTCTTTTTTACCCGTTTTTCTTCCTGATTCATCCAAAAGAAAACCTTTTAGTCTTACAAGATAAGGAAGGGAAAGGGAAGAATAGGACGTGAGTCTTTTGAAAACAGGAAGGACAAAATTAGCTTACCAGCTTTTCAAAATTAACAAGGTTATCCAGAAATGTTTTATTTCCTTCATGGATGAATGTTACATCTGAAAAATAAAATAAAGGAAAAATAATTACTTTTCATGGTTTTGTTGTTTAATGCAAAGAAATAAAATGACTAAACAGCAACAAAAAGGAAAAAAAAAGGAAAGTATCCCATTAAAGATTGACACAATACCTTATAACAGTGGAACAAAAGTCTGTTTTAATGATGACATGCAGAGATTATTAGAAACAACACTAGGTACACATTGCAACAAGAGTATTTTCAAAAGGGAGCATGGATTTCTTATTAAACCTGGTCTGTGTTACTTCCAGGGTGCATAACATACAGGGGATGGTTGGGAGCACAGGAGGGCACCCAGAGGGATGGCCCTGCAGGGGGGCATGGCTGCTCTCCACACACCGCGGTACTGGTCCAGATATGCTGCCCATGACTGTGCCTGGGCTGGAGTTGGTCAGTCCCTGAGCCCAGAGCTCCATGGAGGCAGAGAGCTCCATGGGGGCAGAGCTACCAGATGCTGGAGCTGGCTCTGACACCCCTTCATCTCTCTCTGTGGGACACTGACTCTGAAGTCCTCCCCCTACAGCAATGGGTAGCCAGAGAGGTTAAACACAAGGCACTAAACCAAAGTGTTATGGCTAGGAAAAAACACTTGTATGCAGTGTTGTTGGGAGAGAATTTGCGAAGGCAACAAAAAGGTCAGAGGAAAAGGAAAAGGTCTATATTTGACTCCAGGAAGAGAACTGAACACAGTGTAATGAACTGGAGGGGGGGGGGGAATAGCAGGCAAAATAAATGTTGCCAAGTTAACACTACAATTACAACAGTAGCTGGAGGTCATTTTCTCTATTTTTCTAATGCATATTAGGACAGAAATCAGAACTATCTTGGGCATGAAATACAAAGAACATGAATAGATCTCCCATGGGGACGGAAGGTCTGACTCCAACAGTACATCTCCAGATTACTGAAAATACTAGCAGGAGCACCACCACCTATCAGCTCTCTCCTGGATGTGTGGGTATCCAGGAGTGCCAGGAGGAGTCAGCACTCTTGTAATGAGATGGCACTCCAATATCACTACTTCTTAAAAGTCACAGCTGTGTCTGCCAGCAGAAGAATTGCACACAGTAAACAGGACATCTCCCTCTGCGCAGAGGTGCCAACCTCCAGCCCACCAGTCTGTGCATCGCAGTATTTCTTCTGTGCTCATCCCCAGTACTCCCTCTGATGCCCACATGGACCTTGTGGGTTTGGGGGATTTTAGGACTGGAAACCCACAGCAAATGCTGGAAGATGCTTTGTCACCTCCTCTCTCCCTACACACACACACACACTCTTCACCCACCCCTACCTTCACCCTCCCCCAAAACAGCCCACCTAATTTATTTCCTTGGGTTTCAAAGACTCACTCTGTGCCTGAAGGGCATTTTGTAATTGCTTGGAATTGGAATGCTAACGGCTTCATGTGCTGGTGGAAACCCAGGGCTGGGACTCTTCCCAGGGGTGATGGAGAGCTCCTGTGCCCCCAGGGCAGCTGGACTGGGGTCTGCCTGGGGCAGGTAAGATGCCAGCCTGGTCACGAGAGTCCAGCCGGCCCTCCTGAGCAAATGCAGAAAGCACAGCGTATGCTGGTGATGCCTCCAGCACCTCTCTGTCCCTGTGCAGCATCCTAAAAATCGGGGGGAAAGGAGGGAGCAGGACCCTCTACACCTCCTCTGCTGGGCTGCTTTGGGGCACCCAGGGAAAGGGACACAGAAAGGATATGATTTCAGGACACAGGCATTACTTGTCTCTATATCAATGCAGTTAAAAACTGTCCATCACTTCTAATGAAAAACTTATACTGGAAGCAGAAAATTCCACACAGCTTTTTAAGTCAATGAAAGCAATGTGTATATCTCTGAGGGCAGAAGGAACAGAAATTTGCTTTGCAGCCAACAACTAAGAGTCTAGATAAATTCAGTGGAGCAGAAAATTGCGTCTGAACTAGGTTGTAAGGGTATATCACAGTATTTTATTACACATTTGAAAAATCTGCCTGATTTTCAAAAGCTGTATCTGTATGCTATGAGAGCTCTGCATTTAAATTTAATTAACTTTTAAAAGGACACTCTGATGTTATTTTTCGTAATTGAAGAATCTTCATTTTTTTAATTGAAACTACTTTTGTTCCTCTTGTGTTGAAATAGAGTAATTTGTTGAGTTACTAATGTTTTCTATCCATGCCTATTTTACTGGTCTTGGAAATGACCTTAATACAAAGATGTTTGATATGGAGTAAAGTCCTTTGTACTGTGCAATACTTTGGGAATTACCAACCTTGGCAACACCTCCTTATGGACCACTGTATTGAAGGAAATTACTGCAATAATTTCAAAGTCTCCTTGCTATCTCCAGTACATGCTAAAACAGAGAAGTTGCTTAGGTGCATGTTCTTATACACCATATTGTAGTGCTGTGCAGACATCATTGCTACAAGTGACTTGTTTATGTTTGCTGCGCTTGTTTGCAGTCAAGACATACTCCCGAACACCAGGAAAATATTGATTTTGAAGCCTTAATAATTGTATCCATCTGAATTAATGCAAACTGCTTTGATGTGTGCAAAGAGGGGAAGTGTCTGATGGCTCCCGAACTGTCACCGACTGATCTGGAGAACTGCCTGCAAACATTTTACAGCAGCAGCAACAGCAGGTTGGATACACGGCCTAAAGAGAATGCTTTCAGAATACAGGAATAAACAAATGAATTTGCCATGTTCAAAGACAAGGCAGTTAATAATTAATGACCCTAAGACAATGGAAAATTTTAAACACTTGCTACTTAATTAGCTGCCCACCTCACTGCATTAGCAAGTAGTTGCAGCTTCTTTTAATAGATTTTTGTTTTTAAAAATAACTTTAGATAGTAAGATTTTTATTTATCTCTTTCATATCTACAAGAGACTTGAAAATCCCCTCCTCTCAGGACAGACAGACAGGGCAGGTTCTGCCTTCTGGGTGACACCAGGTAGGTTCATTCAAGAGAAGCAGGGAAGCACCTCTGAACAGGCATGTCAGAGTAGGAGCATGACCGAAGCCACTGGTGCAGGTGCACCCAGTGCAGCTCCGTTGGGGGGCTTGCAGGGTCTCACTTCTCCACTGAAGAAGATGTGGCCAAAGCAGTGGCACACAGCTCTATCCACACCTGACAGGACAACATGAAGTTTAAAAACCTGTGTGAAAATTGCCATCTTCCTCCTGTCTTAAAAGGAAGTTGTTTATTATCCAGACCAAGTGCTATGCTGTAGATACCACTATATCTGTCACATACGTATCTTAAGACCACCTGAAGGAAAAATCACCTTTCACTTATTTTAATTAATGACAACAGAGAGCAGCCAAGCTTTAACATTACCTTTCAGAAGTAAGGGCATGAAGGGGATTTTCGGAGATTTCATTTTCTTGAATGCATCTCTGTAAGCTTTGTGATTCAGAGAAGGGTCCTACAAAACCATTTGAGTAATAGAGAGAAAAATCAATAGGCTATAAAAGAGCAATTCTAAATCCATTATGGGCTTATGATCTGAACATGATTTAGATATAAAAGATCTCTTTGGGAAACAAGGTAGCTCAAGGTTTTCTAAGCTAGGTGACATGCTAAACTGAACAGGAAACATAAACAGTGAAAGGAACAAAAGCAATTATGTTCCTCTAGATGAAGCAGTGCTAAAATGGGAGTAAGCTGCAGAACAGATTCACTTGGACTGCTCTCTAATTTCCCCACAAATTTCTATTAGCAAAATCTCTTAATATCTAGCATGAAAGGTATCCCAGAATGTATTGCTGATTAATTTCTTCTTAAAAAAAACCCCAAAATAAACCCCAAACAGCAACAAAAAAAATAAAATAAAAAAATAAGGGAGTGTGTGTCAGTGGCATTATGTAGGCAATTCAAATTCCAAAATTCATCTAAATTTCCCATATAAATTAATATTTCTGCACACTAGCTCACACAGAAGCTTAAAAACACAGTCATTTACTACAAACTACAAGTATAGAAGCATGACAGCTGTTAAGGGCCAAATCTCATGTTCCCCATTCCAGGCAGGGATCTCACCACCCACCCACTTCCATGACAGCCAGAGGAAACATTTGTTTATTTAGCTTTGATAACGCTGACAAAGATCCTCTACCTCAGATTTTGACTTTTTTTTTTTTTAAAACTTCAGCTGTCCTCTTTTTCTCCTGATTTGCAGCATGTTGCTTCAGGTAAAGGCTAATAAACTACCAGAGTAAAAGAAGAGCTTCCAAATTGATGCTGGGGAACTGATACTACATTTGCCTCTCTCTGCCCTTCCTCCAACTGTCAGGAATACAGCCTCCTTCCTTTTTGTGTTTGGAGACCACCTCTGAGCTCTGGAGAGCCACGTGGCCTTGGGCAAATCATGGATCTGACAAGACAAGTTCCAGCTCAAGACAATAAATTAGGAAGAAAGAAGGCAAGTAAAGCAAGCAATGCTCTTCTGCTGTCAGCGTGGTACTTACTGTTAAACTTTCAAGTTCAGTGAAAAGTTTCTTGAACTTCCCAGGAATTTTCTGAAGTGGGAAAAACAGATAAGGGAAAAAAAAAAAAGAGAAGTTGATTTAGGCAGAAAAATGCTGAGGCATTTTTTTTCCATGAGACCGCCATGGCTGAAGTGCCTGCTAAAAGTACCAACAGGCAGTTAACCTCTGCTCCTCAGCTCCCAGAGCCCTAATTACAGACCATGTTCAGTGCAATGCCAGTGAGGCACTGAGCCCCACAGCTTTGCCTCGGGGACCCTGCATCCTTCTTTTATGGAAACTGCTTGTTAGCTTCCGGTTTTATTTTCTTCCCTACCTTCCACGCCTGCTGCAGTTATCTGAATACCCGTATCTACTTGGAAGCAGTAACACAGGCTGAGAATTCAGGAACTGTGATCACATCCAGGTTAAATAATTTGCTGTAATCAATCTTCCCCTAAAATATGGGTTCTAGAAATTAACAGGCATCACGCTCAGTGCTGTTTGATACACCACCCCAGTGCTGACCAGGGTTACTGCCACATGCTAGTGCCAAAGAGAGAGAACTTTCCTTAACAAACTGATTACCTCTGGTATCTCATCCTAATCTCACAGGGAGGTGCATAAAGCACTTTCTAAGGGAGCCCAGACACAAAGTACCATCTTGCCCCACATGCCAACACCTGCTCTACTCCACAAACATCCACTTCCTTTCTCTATAAGATGTTTTAACGGATTCACCTTATTACACACTACAATGTTCTACAATTTGAATTTTGCAACTAGTATTTCGGACTTGAACAATGGTGTGTGTACCTTAAAATCTGTTTATTTTTTTCCAACCATATTAGGTAGTCTAGTAAAAATATCCCCTCTTAGTACAAATCCTGCCTAGTCTTTGTCCTGAGATCCTGACAGCCCCAGTAACACTACCAAGAGAAAAGAGATTTAGAACAATTAGGTTAAGTGGATGTGCTGTATGACTAAAATGCTAAAATAACTGCATATGGAATCGCAATTGCATTTTTTTATATCTTCAGTCAGTCAACTTTTCTTCAGTAAAAAAGAAAAGTTGAAGAAAATGCTTGGGAGCATACTACTTGTTTAAGAATTCAAGTGTGGAGCCAATATAATTTAGTATCTTAATGGCTGCTTAAATTTAGGTTGTTTCATTTACATGTGTAAGTAATTATAATTAATTTATAAACATTGCTCTACTTTCTAGAAGTCACATTACTAATGCAAATAACCTTCTGCTTTTGAAATTTCCAGTGCAATGAATTTTTATGAATAATAATAAAAAAAAGCATGACTTCATAAATATTTTACACACAGAAACATGACATATTTACAATGATACATATGCAGATGCACTCTTTGTTCCGACAAGCAACATATTCTGTTCTTCCTGAGAGAAGTCCACCTGTAGCGCACGAGCTCCAGAGGTCTCAGCACACAGCAAATTTTGCATTTCTCTGTGCTGGAGAGACCAATACTGTTGCCACTCGGTGCCTTTGATACAATATTTGGTCTCTTCCACTCTTCTACCAAAGCCCAGAGAAATGGGATGAAGGCGACCTGTAACAGCAGGCCAGGGCAAATGTTCCCTAGAGAGGTGGTTCAGAAATATATCAGAGACAAGGAGTTTCTGTATCATCGTTCTCAGGTATGTATTTTTCTCTAAAACTTTTACTTTATGTCTTATTTAAAGTTAGCTCTTACTTGCCTATCTGAGTTCCTGTAAACAGCCACTGTCCTTGTTTCTCTGTGTGTTGAAGCCACAGACATATGACTTATGTTTCCATAGGCATAGTTTCAGCTAAAGGGGAAGACTCTGCTCTGGACAGTGTTAGGTTTCTATTTGGCTTCAGTCTTTGGTGCTCAAGAGTGTCTTTGAGGCAGAAGATCACAGCCCTTCTCTTCACTTTGTATTACAGATTGATTTTTTTTTCAACACTGCCCACTTGTAGTGTTGGGGGCATGAAGGAGGGATAAGGCTTCATCCCATTACACTCAATTACTCCTTTCCCAATTTTGGTTCATCAGCAGATACACAGTAAGCCTGCAGATACTATGACTCAATATGGATACCGTGACTCAATACGGATACCACTTGGATGGAAATGAAAAAGCCACAATATAAATACAGATCTCAGTGGGATCCTCCTCTAAACACACCCATGTCCTGTCTAGTAATGGTAGTTTCTTTAGCAAATAATCTCTGTTCTCCAGTATGCTCCTTATTCATGGCCCATTTCCTAACTTTGTTGTTCAAGATGAGCAGCTGCAAAAGAGCTGATATAGGAGAATTAGCTGATATAGGTTTATTTCAACATCAATGGATTTTTTAAATTAAATTATTCCATAAGAAAGTATTGTTTGTTTGGAGCCACCTTTGCAAGACTTTCTGTTTTGCATATACTTTTGACACATACTTAAAATGCTAAGATAATTTACATTACTTATTTTGTTTTAAAAGGATAATATCTCCATGCTCTATTCTTATTTAAAACTCTGGAAGGACACATTTAGGGTTTTTTTTAATATCTAAGCTTTCAGTTCACAGAGAATTTTTTCCATCAACACTCACTCCATGTTTGATTTCCTCATGAAAAACCAATAATTAGAAAGAGAAGGTAATTCTCCAGTATGCAACCTTTGTGAGAAATGGTTTTGATGGTGTCTAAAAGACATAAAGATGTGTCTTACCTCCCAGGTCTGAGACAGCCGGCTGACAGATGCAGTGTTGAGACCCATAACAATAGCGAAGAATGAATTCAGATTTCTTTGGGCTTTACAGCTGAGGAATAAAAATATGATTTTTTTGTACTCAGAATCAGAGATAAATGGAATGCACAGGTATCCTAGGTTACTGAGTCTCATTTCAACCCTCAGCACTAACATACAATCATCTTCCACATAACAAAGTCATTAAATGTCCTCTCATAACCACCTGCAGTCTAGGTGATGGGGTCTCTAGGAAGTTTTTTAGAAAACATTCTAGTGTTTCATCAACCCTGTTGTTGGCAGGTTATTTTTTTCCCTTTGCTGTCAAAAGTAATTTTCCCTTTTCAATGTTCAAGTTACTCCCAGCTGTCCTTTACCATACAGAATAATTCCCTGACCTCTATTCTGTTGTATAATAAATATTTTCCTCCCCTTTTTAATCTTTTCTGTAAATTGTACATTACTGGTTCGTTTGATTTCTCTTTGTGGTCTTGGCCTGCAATCTGCTTTTCCATATTGTTATTATCCTTCATTGAATTCTTTGTAATTTATTTTAACTTATGTGTTTCCTTCTTCACTACTTTCTCATGTAATGAGACAGTGGGAAGGGAAGGAGAAACATAATTACTGTTTCGGCTCGAAGTTCTTACACCTTTCTCTTATGCAAGCATAAAACAAACAGCAAATTATTTATTTGAAACACCATCACATTTTGTCCTTTTAATTTGTCATCTATTATCACCCAAGGACCTCTGTCAGAGTACTGTTCTTTACAATCATGCATTTATTTATTCAGCTCAGTATTAGCATTCCATAGCTGAATTACTTGGCATCTATCTAAATTAAATCTTATCCTACTGTTGTTTGCACATGCCACTAGACTCCTTAGATAATTCTTTTTTTTTCCTATCCTCCAGTGCATTTGCAATCCTTCATCATTTTTATTGTCTGAAAATCTGATTAATGTTCAATTTACATATCCCTCTAAACTAGTTGTGGCTAGTACTGGTTCCAGTACAGGTCCCTACGGAATTTGCTTGATACCTCTATTCTTTGACATTTTACTATATACAATTAGACCATGCTTATTTCTAGTCCATTTTCTAGTCCATTAGGAAATTTGAAATCCTGAAGCATTGAGTCCTTTTCAAACAAAAAGATTCCCCCCTTCTCGTGCAGATTTTTCAAGACCACTATAAATATACATGCGCATTTGCACGTGAGAGTGAGAATCCTCTTTTAGGATAATTTTAAGTACCAATGAATTCACTGTCTCCACTGGGATTTATCATTAGGGAAAAGTACATGCCAAGGCCTTAGCCTGGAAAATCACCAGCACTTGTTACAAGTTTTATAAAGCCTGCACTTATCACTGTGTACTATCTTGAGATGGTGTATTTCTCACTTCACTTCAGCTGTCTTAAAGTTAATCCTAACTTTGTTGCTTAGAGTCCTTTTATCATTAAAGTCACACAGCTCCCAAAGACAATTCATTTCAAAACAAGGAAGGTGTCCAATGCAGCCTGCATAAACTGTCTGTTGGGTGGGCCCAGTTCTCACAGCAAGCTGTAGAGAGAAGGTATGTCTTTTACAGTGAGACACTGCATGGGGAGTAAGAAGGCTGCTGTTGTCATCTGTTTATTCTGACCCTACATTGACTTGTTTCTGTAACTCCTCAGGATATTAATTTCTAATAACATGCTAATTAATTTTCTTTAATGAATCATTTGTTTTCTCTTTTAGACTACTCATCAACAGAAGCATATGTATTTGTGTTTCAAAAACTTTGTCTTCCTTTTATATATTGACGCACTCGAGTAAAAGCCTTCCATTTTCTTCAGGCATTCCTGAACAGCGAAACACACAGATGTTGAACATGAAATCTTAGTCCTGGTGCTCTCCTGACAGGAGGAAAATCATAGACAAAGCTTCCTGGCTGAATGGAGGAGCAGAGATTAGGGAGCAGCCAAAGCTGTTCACAGCTCCCTACCTCTCTGCCTTAAGTCATAAACAAAACAGCAGGGCTGCTTGGCTTGTGCCTCAGGATGAGAGTCCTGTGCTCAGCACACCATCCTTCCACCCTAATTGTTCCTCTTTCATCAGCTCTTCCAGAACTGATGAGATATGATAATGTGTTCTTTTAGAAAGCAGCTTTTCTGATTAAAAAAAAATCTCAAGAAAACTACACACTCATTTTATCATCTACATGCTACAATGATGGCTGCTTCTGCTATACACTGGGAGACCCTGTCTACCATTTACTGACAACTGTATCTAGTATCCATAACTTTGGCTTTTCACATAACCGGATGGAATCAATTCAAATAGAGCAACATATTAGTCTGGTGACAAATATGTCCTTGTTCATGTGGGACAGACATGAAATTTTTCCTGGGATGCAAATTAATGCTACTGTGGTGCAAGCAAGGCACACAGAACCAATTGGTTTTTGATGTAATTGGATCAAACTTGCCCATCGATATGGCAGAAAATGAACATATTACTGGATACTATACAACTTGCAAACTAAATCAGATCACATTTATGAGTTACACTAGATTAGATTAGAAGAATTAATTTCTCCAATGGCACTGCTTCGGCAGAGAACAGTCCTTTGTATGTAAGTGCCTTGCAAATTAAATCAAACCAGTTGATGAAGGGAACAAATTATACATTTTCCATGAACATGCATACTCAAATATTGTAGAAGTCCAGCAAGTGGAGAGAGAAGTGAGGATGGTTGCACATAGTTAAATTGCTCCATTTCCTTGGTTACTAAGACAGAGTGATTACAGAGAAAAGAACTCTCTGTGAATAGTATATATTTGTATTCTGTTGCAAGGTATAGTACTATTCAATACCAGTGGAAGAACAGACTGTCAAATCTAATCAATAAGGAAACCCACCCCTCCAATACATAGAAGTATTCCAGAGAAGATTAGAAGGGTTATGAAGGGAATGCCCCTTTGTAGCAGCCAGCATACTGCAGTTAAGTTTATAGGTAGGGCTTTCAAGTTGATAGCAGTTTTTTTTGGTTTCCAAGTAGTTTTTGGTAAATGACTGTTTTGAAGCTCAAATAGTTCTGCCAAATGGTCCTCAGGTTATCTCGGCTAAGAAAGGAGCTATCTCTGCACCACCAGGGATGTTGCAGTTGACACTGCAGATACAGCAGCTGAACTGCAGGGAAAGCTTTGAGCAGCATATACTCTACCAGGTCTAGTTTTGGCCAGTGATTGCTATTGTTATTTATGGACTGTTTTATCTAGGTATGCTTACTACACTAACAAAACACAGGATGACAAATTAGTTTTCTTTCATTGCTTTTGCACCTACCCCTCCCCAAATAAAGCATGTGGATTCAAGGATTTTTGTTGCAACTTTAGTAACTTACTGGGCAGCAATCTTGATGAACTTTTTGACTAGCTGCACACGTTTGCAGAGCTGGTTACAGAGGAGTATCTCGGTGGCAACCCAAAGCTGGACCTCGTTGCATCTTTGAAGCAGAAGACTGAGATTCTCAGTGTTTTCAGCATTGCCCTGTCTGCTGAATGTGAAGTATATCAGCTCTTGCTGGAAGATATTGACAGCATTATTAGGGATATAAAAACAATTTAAATGTAAATGAACTATAAATTATTTAGAAGCACGTTTTTGAAACAAGATCTGGTCACAAATGACTATTTTTTCATTATCCATGAGCCAATCACAAATGATTAAGGTTTGTCTTAGCAAAGTCTAGAGACCTATTACAGATGGCAGGTGGACTGGAAGTCCTGCAATATACGCTTTTCTTGTAAGATTTCCTGCAATTCCACTTCTGGCTACAGGCAGGTATAAGACATAAACAATCTTTTTCTGTATTTCACTACTTCTGTTACAGTATGAAAAAGTATCCATATCAGATCATTGTAGAATCTGAAAAATTTCCATTCAAATTTTTTTCCAAATTAGCCAATTTTTCATCAACAGAGGTGGGGGTATTCATTTCTGTGCAAAAAACCCCCAGATTTGGCCTGCTCCAAATTTGAAGTGTCTAACCTGAATAAAAGAACCTGAAATAAAAGATCATGGAAAGCATCTGATGAGAAGCAAGGGAATTTTCCATTCATTTTGTCAGAAAACCCACATACTTTTCAGTGAATGATATTTTCAAGTGACATTTTTTACTGTTAACTGTGCATTTTACTCAGCAGCTCACACCAAAACCTATCGAAGTCATTGAAACAATCCAATGGGCCCTGAAGTGGGCCATTAGCTCAGTAAAGCCTGCCCAGTATTTTTCATCTCACTGAAGCCTAACAAGAACAGTGACATGACCATCTAAAATGCTGAAACTGTCAATTCTTTTGTGGATAAAGTGGTATCTAAGACAACTATTTGTGGAGTCCTGTATGTACTGAAACACTATGAAGTGCATAAGACATTTTGCATATACAACATATTCAGACAGATCGTTTTTTGAAGAATAATCATGGTCTTTTACTCTCTTGAGGCAAATCCAATAAAATGCACCAGGTATATCAGTGAATATATGAAATGCCCCAATAGGGGAAAGTTAAAAACCTTTGACAATTTTCTTCAGTATCAAGGATTGCAACACATCTCTTGGACCACCCACCACTACTGACAGCTGCCAAATCATGTTGTTATGAGAGTAATATACCTGGAAGTGGATGAGGTGCTTCTTACCTCATGAATTGCATTGAAGAGGCTCCAGTCAAAATTTGTCAATTCTAATGCAAGATCCCAGGTGTTGATTCCCAAAATCCTCACAGACCTTTGCTGCAATTCCTCATTTTCAGCAAATGGATTCTAAATAAACAGCCAAGAGCAAAAAAATCCTCAGGAAATGCCAAAAGTTCTGCAATGAAATTGCTATTGGCCTAAGGTACCAAACAGAGCCGAATAAGTCATCTTCTCTAAGTACACTTTAAGGGTTTTTTTTTCCCACTAATCAAAAACAGCTTGGGAAATGGGTCAATAGGATCAATGGTTTGCTATTGGAGAGGAAGGCATTCTCCTTCTCCCTCTTTCTCTAAACCTTGAATATAAAACACTGACCAAGCAGACTGCATAATGAAAGTAAAATCCCTGAAAACATCAGAAAATAAAATCTGAATTCAGACACCAGGAAATTTTGAATTATAAGATAAAAGAATCATTCTGCAAACACATCAGATTTAGAATAAATACACACAACTTGCCCTCCAATCCACTTTTACAAATAACATAAATCCATACATTTTATGATTAATCTATGCCAAATATAATCAACAAAGAATAAAAACACTGTGTGTCCTGATTCATCAAAGTTACTTAGTGTATTAATGTGGAGAGCAGTGGTACTACTGGTGTTCAGGGTCATTTGACATTTCCACTATTAGCTTGGATTTTCAAAGTTTTGCATTTCTCTTGGGTTTTTTAACCTCATCAGGCTGAAACTTGGCACACGAACCATCTGCCAACATGAAAAATTGTTCTTATCGGTTAAGCCATTACTTTGGTGCTACATTTCTGACAGTTACAGCAAGTTTTGCAATTTTTATTACGTAGCTAATGAAACTAGGTTGGCTGTCACCTGTCTGCACTGGAAACGTTCCCTTAATATTCACATTTTCAGAAGAGGCTTGAACGCTGGTGATAATGGGGATGACAGATTACAATGATAGCGGAATGTCAGCTCTTCGGGGCACATTGATCCAACAAAATGTAAATAGACATTTCTCATCCTGAGGATGAATGCACAGATCCTAGAGCTACTGACAACACATAACAGTCAGTTGTGATACAGTTCCTGCTCTTCCCTTGAAATGTCTGCATAATTAGCAGAAAGCTATTGAAAGAGCAATTCTCTCAGTGTCTGACTGTGCCTGCCTCACTAGGGTTTTGGGAAATCACAGCAGAGAGAGAGTTTGCAATCCCTGTTTCTGAAGATAGAGGGAAGGATGAAAGAGACCTGCTTCCTCCCAGTCCATTCCCCTCCCCAGCCCCAGTGAGAGGATGGAGAGACAGACAGACAGAAGGAAGAGGACACACCACCAGCAATATATGCCAGCCACAGACTGACGATGTAGCTGCCACAACACTGGGGTCACACTAACACCTAGTAATTTTGGTGGAACTCACACAGCATCCATTTCTACATGTAATTCCATGGACTTTGCCCACCACTTTGTATGATTGTGTACCAGCCACTTTAAGTGTTACAGAGGCACAAGGCAGGGTGGGGGGGAAAAGTCACAAGAGCCCTGAATAATCCTCATCCCATCCATTTCTGTACAAACACAGGTCAGCTTTTCCAGGCTGATGTAGATTGAAAGATTTAAGCTGTACAGAAGCTTTGGTCTATTTGAAACTGATGAACAAATTCCATTACTGTTCAGTCAAAAACCTTCTGTCAATGACAGATTTTTTTTTTTAGGTGTAGAACAGCACAGTAAGCTTTACTAAGGAAGCAAGAAATAAATTCTGCATTGAAAAAGCCCTCTGAGAGGAATACTAAATTCATAATTTGCAGTCAGACAAATAAAAAATGGGAAGTATAGAATACTGATCCTTACCAAAGAATCAGTTAGATCTTTTCGGTAGACAAACATACGACTGGATGACTCCAAAGATTTTGAGATAGCCAAGTCATTTGGTTGTAGTTCTTGTTTTTCTGTAAAAACGGCAAACAAAACACAAAAGTTTCAGAACAGCAGTAAAAGCTATAAGTGAGAAAAAAGGTACAATTATATTTGTAAAGCCACATCAATTTCTAAGAAGGTAACAGCATCAAATTCAGTCCCAGTGGGAGCCATCACCTCCACCCTGTTCAGTCACAATAAAGGCAAGATGTCTCTGATAGACTAGAGCACAAAAATTTCCTGCTTCTGCTTTCAACCTGCACTTCACATAGGATAGAACAGAAATAAACCCTTAAATCATCTACTCTAACCTCCTGTGCCTTATAGAACATTTCATTGCAACACAGTGTATCTACTGTAAATATAGTAAATTTTTTGAGCAGAGTGTCTCAGCCTCCAGAGACTGAGCTGTTGCATGTCACTGGCAGACAAAACCAGAGGTGGAGATGTCAGCAGTAGCCACAGCTCATCAACAGGAAAAGAACTTTAAAGGATACCAACACCATTAAATTCACCCCACGGAGCACAGCTGAAGAGTCTTTTATAACTCAGTATTTACAGAAATTCTTCTAGACCCAGAATAATTAATGTGGGAAACGTGAATAAAAGAGCCGGACACACCACACTGATAGCAAAGAGAAAGGACTTCTTTTTCTCCACCTCAGAGTACTGATTTAGCTCTGGGCTATCTTGGATGCACTGGAGAAAGATATGGGGGAAAATAAAGCAAAACCCAAAACACTGCTTAAAAACTGCCCTAGGAAAACTGTCTCCTCCTGAGGGCTCCAAATAATACTCTGGAGACCTGACACATGGTAGACCCATCAACACTAAAAACATGTTGACAGCTACCTTGGACTTTCCATTGCCCATGAGGGAGCAGTAGGACTAGGAGGAGTCTGAGTGCCAAACACAATTTCATATAGTTTGCCCTCTTATCCATGCTCACATTGATAAACAGATACATTGATGTTGAATTACCATTATACTTTTCAAGGTAATTTCGAATAAAGAGCTTGCTCATCCATTAGTGGAGTACAAAAAAAATGAGTTCTCCAATGCTCACACTGCTACCCTCTAAGTGGACAGAAGACAAGAGTTCTGAGTCACACAAATAGCAAAAAAACAAAGAAAAAAAAAAAAGTGTTACTCACAGCACAGGAGTCACAACTCATAAGAAGAAAGAGACTGAAATTGTTGCATTTCAAATTAATTCAGGCAACGTGACTAAATAACATTTTAGGGGTTACAGTGGTCATGTACAAATGACAGTCCAACTGTACCTTCATTTTAATGATTGTTTTCTAGGAACCAATGTGGTCTAAAGATAATAGTGTGTTTCATTATTTATGAATTGTTGGTTTTCTTTAGCTAAGCAAACAGTTAGCACCAGATCTATTGCTATCAGAGTAAAACTTGCCCTGCTCTTGAACAGGAGAGCAAGACCTGAAAAACAACAGCAGCACAGTGATTTTGCAGTGCTGGGAAATGCACTGGAGGCAAGTTTGGGTACACACGAGGGTAAAAAGAGTATGCCTGGAAATAATGTAGCCTGGCTGACCACGACACCTATGTGTAATGCTCCCATATGGCTGCTCCATGCCAAGGCTCTCAATACCCAGAGCAGGGCACCAGCTCCCTGCCACCCACATCAGTGCCCTCAAAAATATGATTATTTAATTGAGCTCAGCATGGGAGAGAAAAATGTGACCTTCCACTTCTGAGTTGAATAAATAAACAGGACAAGCCAGCATTTGAGTGTATTTCATTTAACTAGACTGACAAAGAAGTAGCAATGAGTGCTAGAAATCTAAAGGTGCATCCTTTGTCTCAGGGGATCAACACCAGCTAATGTTAGCTGAGAATATGGTCAGGATATTCTACACTCCTAATCCCTTTTATAGATACAGCTTCGCATTTCTATGTACCTACTTAAAGTGCTTCTGAAAGACACCACAATAAGTAAAACAATACGTCCAATGAGATTGAGACTTGTCAATCACCAAAGAAAATCTTGGGGGTTTCTCTGGTCCCTAGTATCAGCCCATGATCAGTCTAGTCTTCCTTAAAAAAGACAGTAAGTCCATCTGTTCAACTAACACTAAAACAATAGGTAAAAGATGTCAGTTGTAAGCAAGACTGCTTACAAAATATTGCTGAGATTGCTCTCAGCATCTCAACTATGCAAATCTATGTCTTCCTCCTTTCTGCTGGATAATATTTGTCACTCATGCTGTAAATGAGGAAACAGACACGCATACAGTATTTGCTATTCCCTTTCATATTTTTAAAGCAAACCATGCTCATTGCCTTCAAAATTAATTTAAAGACCAAAGTAGGAGATTCATCTGTGGAGAAAAAATAAAACCTTGCAATACTGCTGGAGACAGAGTTCTTTACACTCCCTTTCCCAGTCAGGAGATGCGTATCCCACGGTACCCAAGAATGAGCTGTTGCCATGGAAACAAGTCTCTGGGAAGGAGTTCCTCATTGTTCATCATGGTCATCCAGCTGTGGGCCCATACAGAAACAGCTGCATCCTTGCATCAGAAAATGTCAGCTCTCCCTTACGTGATGCACTAAAAAGTAATTAATCAGATGAAGGGAAGCTATTTACCACCAGAGAACGTGACAGTCACCAGTGCCAACTCCTCCTCCGGGTACTGGATCTTTTCTGCCACAATCTTCAGTATCTCCTGAGCTGAAGTGCATACTTGAGCTTTCACACTGACATAGGAGTGCTCCGTTATATACACACGGCAGAAAACTGCACAAAGGAAGAAAGACATGCTCAGCAGACCCGACCATGGCAATGCCTCAGCTGTGTGGCTGCTGCAGCTGCAGGAAGGGCAGCTGCTGCACCCTGAGATGCAGGACATGAAACTAAGAATAAACGTCACCATTTTTCCCCTTCCCACCTCCTCTCCCTGGGAAATGAGAGAGTCAAACAGATGGAAACCTAGACTCCCACAGCAATATCTATTTAAGACCTCCTACTGTGAGGATTTGTCACAGACAACCTCCATCACTGCCTATCTTCCTTGTAAACCCAGCTGTCACCATCTTTTCCCCCTTCCTTTTCAGTTCAGATAAAACACTGTCCTTTCAGTACATTTCATATCTGCTGCAGAAATTATTTTGGACCTCCACTTCCACCTGGAACAGGAGGCTTAGCAAGAACAGTGCTCCCCGGTATTCAACCACTCCTCATAGCTTATCTGTCTACACATCTAAACTACTTGCATTGCCAGAATATGGTAGCAGCAGCAGAGGCTGCCCAAACAGCAATGCATTTAATTCTGACACTTCTTTTCCTGAATCACTTGCAGCACACATAAAAGCGACTGGTTTGCAGAAAATCCCCGGGCTCATCACTTCCACTGAGGTCCATGAGTTAGTTTGGCTCTGAGAGGGAGATTCCTAGCAGTAATACAGTGGTCAGCTCAGCTAGTGTTTTTTTTTCTGCTACAAAAGGGAAGTACTCTCTCTCTGCTTGCCAGAATTTTAGGATTATGTATTTTGCCAAATTTGCTGTAGTTAGTTCTTTGAAATACAGCTGCCATGCTTAAAGGGGAAGAAACAGACCTGCAGACTTGCATAAATATTTCAAAAATTACAACATCTGCTAATCAGAATCAGCACAGCTCTTGGTTTCATACTCACTTTGGTGCTTAATTAAACTTTCCATTTCCTTCTACTCTAGCACTTCTTATTGTAAACAGTCTGCTACCATGCCAGTATAGGATAAAACTTTTCTTCGCCAGAAATGCTGTATTTTTTAAAATTAGTTTTATTGACAGATGTATGGAGCAACAGCTCTTTGCTTGTCCTACAAATCTTCATGGCTTCAGGGTACCTTCATTAAAGGAAGCCATGCCAGAAGCAGTTAAGAACTCCATCCTCAAAAATATCTTTTTTTTCTGTTGTAGTAAAACAAAAACGAAGATGAGAATGAAGGAGGAACTTAACATTGATCCTTGGGGAAGAAAAGTCATTTGATTTTATAATTCTCTTTTAGCTTGTCTCTGGTGACAGTAAATCGGATGCTCATCCTGCAGCAGAATCTCTCTTCAGAGTGGATACAACTCATGAAGACAGAGACATCCAATTGCACTTTAAATTACTAGGTAGAAAAATAAATTTTAAAAAATCTGACAGGAATATTTGGACTCCTATGCAGAAAGAGACACAACTTGCTTACAGTTAATTTGTTTGAAATGTCCTTCTCTTTCATTTGCAAAGGGACAATGACAGCGATGTTAATTTATAAAAGGGCTATTGATCTATCCTTTCTTCAATATTGAACTAAATCAACCCACAGGTCAGGTCCTTGAGCACAACCACCATAATGATTGTCCCCTCACACCTTTCCAAAGTTCTATCTGTGGTATCTATTGGGATGGACCATGCCATCTTTTTCAGGAGTTTATGCTGCTCCTCTGTGAGAAGGAGGGAATGCGAGTGGGAGGAAGTGGCCATGGGCTGCAAGCCTCCCTGGTAATGATTTCATTAGGGGATAAAATGCCTCTGGTCAAGTGGCATGGTGTGGCTTGGACACACCCATCCTCCACAAGCACCATTGGTCGGGCAGTGCTCCACCACACAGGCTTGGACGTCCAACCTCAGCATCCGTCTCTCCCTTCTCCAACTTCATGTTTGCTATTTCATTCCTTCACTCCCATCATAGTCCATGATCTCAAGGACTGTTCTCAAGGACTCAAGGACTCAGAGGACTGAGACAAAAGCAATTTAACCCATCACAACTGGCTTTGTTGGGCCCTGCCTTTCTTGTCCCCAGTCCCACAGCCTGTCCCCTCTCTGGAGCCAGTACACTCTCCTTCCCAATCACCCCAAAGATATGTCCAACTTTTAAGAAGAATGACTGGGGGGGTTCTCATCCAGAAATAACATTTTTAGAAGCAGCCTTGATAACATAAACCTCAAAACCCCCTATATTTGAAACAGAAAAAGAGAATTATCTATCAGCAACACGCACTGTGCAGAAAGACTTGGCATTGAAGGAGTTCAGTTTTTATTCTGTTACAAATGAGCACTAAAAATATACTAACTTCAAGTGAACTTCCAGGGTTTTGTTCCCAGTAGGAAACAAAGATATACTGTCAAAGGGTGAGACTGCCAGGTAGGAGGTTCTTCTGCCTGTTCCCTGCTCGTGTACAGAGTGTTCTCCTCTCTGCCTTCTTCCTCATACAGGCATTACAGGAGGGTGACAGCCTCACTGTGTTATAGTATTAGTAGTGATGGATGGAAATGGCTGACATTAAAGTGAAGTGGCACCTTGCACTCCAATCAGAGATGTTTTCAAGGAGAGAAGGAACTAAGGGACGTTCCCAGAGTTAGTAGATCCTGGCCCATTACATGTGACAGGCTTATACATGCACCTTTCACAACCAAGATATAGGTCAAGGGACCGAGAGCATGAAATGGAGCAGAAATAACACCTGGACGGGCTGCCAGCAAGCCTGGGAGGCACACAGCTCTGGAGCAGGGGTGCTGGAGGAACCAGACAGAGCAAAACCCCCTTGAGATACCATAGCACTGTTTACCACTGCAAAGCAGGAGGCAGAAAGTTAAACTTACACAGCCATAATATTTCTTCTTTTGTGTCCCTAAGGTCCAGTAGAAAAGCTGTCTGTCAGTTAAAAAATATTTACATTGAGGCCCTTGAGAAACAATTTCATAGTTTTTGAGTTTGTCCTCCACTTTTTCATTTATACTCACTCTCTTCTATTTCATTCATGGTTCCTCTGTGCTGCAGCCAGTTCTCCTTTACACTGAACTGGTGGAAAAAGGTTTTATTCTGTGAGGGAGTAGGAAAGAAAGAAAGAAAAAAATCACAACAGTGACTTTTTGCGTCCCTGCCCTTTACAAAGCAGTAATTCACAGAACACAGCATGCAACCCATATGTCTGGCCAAAAGGTTCCCATATAGGAAATCCACCCACCCTTTCTTGGACCAGTAAACTGGGAGTTGCCTTACTAAATAATGACCAAGGTGGAGATTTTGCAGGAAGCAGGACATGCTAAGGCTAAGCAGCCTGCACGATTCAAGATTTTCTGTACTCATGTTCAAAGCCTGTTTCTAATACACTTATTCTTATATATGTTTCTCATGTACCAATCAGCCTACTTAGCAATTTCACTACAATCTCATGTTCTGCCTTCCACATTTTTGCAGTAACATTTTAAGCTTATTACACACTTCAGCCTCAGTGCAGTAAAATTGACAAGCACAGCAATTCACCTCTGAGAAGTTTGTACACCAACTTTGGCTGCATCTCCTTCCTTCAGTTAAATGGACAGATTCATGTTCCTCCTTTTTTCTCTGTCCCTGTCACAAGTCTGCCCTTTGCTCTGTTTACCTGGCATCCATGTCAATGGATGTGTGACAGTGCCTGTGCTCAGCCTGGTTTGCCCAGGTTGCTACATCTCTCCAGCTTGGTGGGGACACACTCCTGGACCTCTCCTGAATTTAGACATCTCAAAGCATCTCGTTAAGATGCTAACATTGCCACAGCCACTGCAGGTTAGCTCACACAGTTGATATCCAGGATGCACTCACAAGAAAAAAAGTTCCTTAAGCAGCATTGCAGGTCTAACCTCACTGATGTGTCCTGTCATGTTTTTGGCCACTAGTCATTTTCAGTTAAGAAGCCAAGAAAAGAGAGGGAAGTGGGCAAAGGGGAAGAAAGTGAGATGGTAAGTTATCTAGCAACCAGCAACAATCAGGCTGGCATTACCTTTCGATGAGGTGAATACTCATCTACAGTGCTGAAACAAAAAGGAAAATCCAAATTATTCTTTCCAGCCAAAGCTTAGGAAAAGGAAGTTTTAGCTATAACAAAGTTTACAACATCAGAAAGTTTTTAACACTAAATGGTCACTGCAGAAGGGCTGCAGAGCTCCTTCAGAAAAAACTAAAGGCATCTGGCTCAGCCAGAAAGCTTTTCTTTGACTTGCACAATTGATATAGTGAAAAGCAATGCTGTCAGCCCACGAGCTGTTGGAGTAGACAAACACAGCTCAGGCCCCAAGGTAAGCAGTCAGGGTCACCCTCAAGGACACAGATCCTTCTGCTTTCCCAATGGTCAAACCATGGAAACAAACTCCTTTGTTGAAAAAAAATGCCAAGGAAAGATCTATTATAAATACCATAATTATTAGTAAAATAATAACCCTGAGATGACTATTACAAGATATTTGCTTCTCAGTACTGCCAACTGCAGAGAGAGAGAATGAAAATGAAGGTACCATCTGAAGACACAGACTGCAGCTTCTGAGGGAATTTTTGCCAGCTTCTCCACAAAGTATTGCTCTTCTTGAAAGTAATCGCAAATAAAATTGATGGAAGTGAAGCCCAACAAACATCAGAGAAAACTGAATAATTTATCTTTAGTTTAAAAAAGAGATTATTCATAAAAATGAATGTGTTACTTGTATCACTCATCACTTTACTAAATTACAGCAAGATGGTGACAAAAATAAATTACACTCTAAATAAAAGGAGACTTGATCACAAATATAATCAATACTTACTGACGGCGATGCATCCCAAGTATCTTCTGAAATTCTTTCAGGTCCTTCTCAAGAATGGGATATTCATACACATCATCTAGCACATTTCTGTATATTGTCTACAAAATAAAACAGTATCTGCAAACGTCTGACAATTCAAACATAAATCTAAGGCATCACATCAGCAGTCTAAATCAATTCAGGCACTAGCCTACTAAAACAACTTTCATCATTATATTTATGCAAAACCCATAAGAAGAGAATGTTCCTGTTTAAATTTCCAGACTGGTCAATATTCAGCTTGTCTTTGGAGAAACACTCTTAGTACTGTCACCAAGTGAGAGTCCAAAATGTTTATCCTCTTTTCTCTACAAATGGCAAAATTTAAAACACCACTTGTGGTTGTTACATAAAATCTAGGTTAGGTCAGAAGAACACATTCTGAAGCAAGACAACACACCACACCATCTTCACTTATCCAAAATGATAATAAACAGGTTCCTTGGATTAAGACTTTTAAAATGGTAAATGTTTTACGTCACCTTTCCTCACATTTGCATACATTTTAAATTGAGTTATGTTTTCCACAAACTCCAATAACTCTCCTCTTCTAATTTTGGGGGAAGGCATTGTCATGATTGAAATTGTAGGAAATATTTTCTCTACACTTTTTCAGAATTTGCACACAGATCCTTCTCTTTCTCTTCTAAGAAAATGACAAATATGTATGAGCTGAGTCATCAGGTTTGCTATCGCCCAATTAACACTCCTATATTCACAGATTTCTGCATGAATGATTTTAGCCTACAACCCTAGACGCTGTTTTTGCATGTATAACTGCAACCATTGTTAACATTACTGCTGATTAATATTGCACAGAAGCTTCAAGAAGAGAAATTGTGTGACAGTGCACAGTCACACCTCCATGGCCCTTAGGAAGATCTCCATCTGCATAGAAAGAGCCTCATCAGGAAAAGTGGAAGATCCTGCAAAGTCTCCTAAAATACTCTTATCTTTAACCAGCAGGGAAAAAAAATACATTTTTTAAAAAATCAACAACCAGATGGATGCTGGTCAGCAACAATGGGCTATTTGCAAATTTACAAGGGAATTACAAGAGCTTTTGGAATTTATACAGAAATATCAGAATATCTTTGCTAACAAGTAAGGACAAAATTTTATTTATTAAAAGACATAAATTTGTGCTGCTCTCCATGTGCACTCAGCAAAACACTGTGGAATACAATTTCACTCCTCAATCAAAGTAGCATTTCTTACAGGGACCTGAGAATTCTTAGTCTGTGATCCTCTGGATACTGACTGTAGATCCTGTTCTGACAGACATGACCAGTGTGTCCAAGGAACCTCCAAATCTTTGTAGTTTTATTTCTTATCTTCTTAACTTTTCCCATTTTCTAGAGATCATGGGATTTCTATAAGTTTCATATGTTAATGTTTTTGACATTGAATGTATTGATAATACAGATTTTCTGTTCAAACTGACCATCTTTAAAGCATTTAAGGAAGCCACATGCAAATCATTTTATATTATAGATTTCATGGAAAAATGTAAGTATGAGAAAAGATGTTTTATAGATTTTTCTGCTGCGGCTTTTTAGACACAGTAAGTAATTAAACAGTGCTGAAGTGCATCAGAAAGTGTTTCGATACCTTTAAAAACTGTTTTAAATGCTCATCTTCATGTAACCAGTCTTTGTAGAGAGAAGTCCACTGAGATACCAAATGCAAGACTTTCCGCTTCCTACAGGACACATCAGAGTCATCTTCTTTCCCTTGGTGGTTCTTAGCACAATAGGTGCAGTAGGTTAAGGAATGAATAATAAGGTCTCACATAAACTTTAAAATTAACTGATGGCAAAGACTTTGCAATCATCTCATTTGCTAATGAAAGATTTTTTTTCAGTACATTGCTCAGTTTTAAATGTTTTATCCTGTCTGGTGCTTCAGGAGTTTCATCAAGTTTTTGGAATGAAATTCTCAGTAATAGACGTGACAATTAATCCTCTGTGCCAACAGGATTTTTCTTCATTACAAATTAGAGAGGTGATTCTATACAAATAAAATCAATTCAAAAGGAATTATACAATGATGAGTCATATCTTTTCTGCAGAACTGAGAATGAACCTTTGTCCTGCACATCGATAGCTACGAGAGTGTCTGTGGGAAAGAGGGCAATGCATCGTTAACAATAACAAAAAAACCAGGCAAAGGAAGTCAGTTTCTTTTTGTCTGCACAAATTACAGTATCTGCAAAAATAACACTATTAAAATAAAAAAAGAGTGAACAACTATTTCTACCACTGTTCTCTATTCACAAAGCAGAAATGCCAAATGACAGACAATACCCACTTGTACATTGTTCCTATCCCTTCTCTATTCTTTCATTTAAGAGGTAAAAAGATGATGTTTTCGTCTCAAAAGGTAAAGAAGGGGGGAAAAAAAGCAAAGAAAGTTTATTTTAGAGCCACAAGTTTATTTAAGCAATGCTCCATAGCTTATGGAAATCATTGGAAATACATGAAAATAATTCTATCTCAGAATGAGTTAAGACTTACATCCTGTATTGCATGATAAAAGGAGCAGAGATTGGAAAATACTTTTTCTCTTTGTAGGTATTCTAAGAATGAACATAACTTGGAGAGGTTTTAACCCCACTTTAATGTTACCTCATCACAGTTATAAAAGTTTATTTATCTTTAAACAAAAACAAAAATTGCATCGTTGTTATGAGTTAGGCATCTGCTTCAATACAGGTTTATTCAGAGGCAGCTTTATCTTTGTATATTTGACTTCAGTGCAAGAATTTTCTGTTTATTGATTCCCCAGCTATGCAAATTCTAAATATTTTAATAAGGGTACGTGTGTGTGTATACCTAGTTACAGGCACGTGCAAATTAGGGGAACTCATATCCAAATTTGAATTTAATGTTTCCAGTTTGAATCTCTTCATCCTCAACCCATTTGAGTTAAGAATACAATATAACCTAAACTCTGGGAAGCTATAGATTTGAGTCAAATTCCAAGTATCATAAACCTTATGAAAACTGGACTGGAGAAAAAGAGACTTTGAAAGATCAGCTAAATTAGTCCATCCAAATCCACCCCAAGTAGTCCACCTTAAGAGAGGCTCAAATATACCACTGGAATATATTTTCTGGTTTCTTCTTCTTAATACTCTCCAATATAAAAGATTCTACTGTCTTACACATTTTCCACTCCACCATTTATTTTCTTAAGGAAAAAAAAAATCCAAAATATTTCCTAGTATCTAACATGAAAATGTCTTACAGCAATTTATTCTCACCGCCTTTTGTCCCATCTGGCACTGATATGGGAACAGATTCTTCTATTCCTCTTTAGGTACCTGAAAGACTGTCTCAGTTACATATAGATTCCCTTTTTTCAGTAAAACAATCCTGATTCTTTCACGTCTTCTTTGTAGATCTTTTTTCTAGAATACTGGTAATTCCCATTGCTCTCTTCTGAAGTTTCTCCAGTTTGTTCATGCATTTCTTGGGCTGTGATGTCAAAATCTCAAGTGCAGTCCACTTTCTAAGCATGCTATAGTAAATATTTGACAATTTTTCTCTTTTCTTACTAATTTTTCATGCAACCTCAAAATAATCATGCAGGACTCAATCATGTTATGCAAAGAACAAAACCAGGCATGCAATTTTGATATAAGGTACAACGACAGATAAAACTAGGAGAAAGTGTGTGACCCCAGTGACCACAACACTCAGTAAAAGGATATTGCCTCAGAAGTGCCTGGCACAAGTCATCGGTCGTCATGAAGACTGTGTATGTGAGCAGGAAGTCATCCAGCAGAGTTTCTGCAGAGGAAGACAAAAAAAGCCCAAGGTGCAATACATTAGTGAGAGCAGGAAGAGAGTATCTATTCCTGCTACTGTGCATGGCAGGAATTGGGAACCCTAAGAAAAAAAAAAAATAAGGTCCAAAGAATACAGAATATATGAAACTAAGTTTCAAAAAGTTAACAATATGTTGCCACTGCAGAGATCAGTCTCTTCATTTAACATGCACATTCTCAACTCCCAAAGCCCCAACAGGCACAGGTATGCACAAATAAGTCACAGTTCAGGGATCAGTAAGAGAGAGTCCTTATCGCAAACACCACCATCCCAGTTAGCTGAGCTGTACAAAAAGCAACTTTTCCATACACTAACTTGTTCTGTAAATTCAGAAGAACAGCTTTTAGTAGTAGGAGAGAGAAAACTGTGATTGCCATGTACTGTGATTAATATCTATGCAAGTAGTTGAGAACCATGAAATAAATATATTCAAATCTTTAGCTGGTTAGTCTTGTGGGCATCACTTAAGTGTTGAGAAGTTTTCTCTAAGGTTCATTTAATCACATTACAGAAGGGCTTTTTCTTCACCTGGTTTCTATCGTTGTTATAAAGGTACTTGCTAATAGACCATCCCTACACACTGCAGCTGTAAGCACCTCAGATTGCCAGGACGAATGGCCAGTTTGGATGTCAGTGTATGTTTCTCATTCCTCATTCCCATGTCACACTATTTTTAGGATTTTTCCAAGCATTGACTGCACACAGCAGGAGGCTGAAAGCACTGGGTTTGGTCTAGGATGCCAGGGTGCAGGGGTAATCTCATGGTGATCTTCAACAATCCAATGGCAGAGTGGAGATAAAACCGAGCCAGATTTTTCCTGGAGATGTGCTACAAAATGACAAGGGGCAACCATCAGAGATGGCAACAAAGAAAAATTTGTCTAGATCACGGGATTTCCTCTTTTCCTTCTGTGAGGAGGGTCAACAGGTTAACTGCACAATCTCCAACATCAGTATATTCAGGGCTTGCTTGTGCAAATCTCCAAGCATCCTGGTCTTACTGGACCTATTTCCAGCACAAGTTGGACCCAATGCTTTCACAGATCCCTTCCAACTGAAATTATTATACAATTCTGAAACAAATTTGCTTCCAATTTTAGTAAACTACTCAGATATGATGCATGGTCTAGGAGTGAATCCATATCTGGTTCACACGACGAAATCCTTTCTTTTCTGCAAACAGACAATTATATTGGTCTTTTTAACCACAAATTTAAAATGTTTCTGTTTGGTTTTATTTTTTCTTCCCCAAATGGTAAGATTTCCAAGTTTTGAGGGGTTCCTGTTCTGTGTATTTCTTTTAATTTCAGCAACCACACTGTGTTCCTTTACACAAGAGAACATGTTTGCTTTTCCCTACAAGAATAGGAACATGGACAGAGGCTAAACAATAACAGAAGTGATTCTGGTTATGTTGCAAAGCAAAAACACTCTAGCGGTATAACTAGTTGGTACCAGCTAGCACCAATTATACTCAGTTGTGATTTAACTGGTGGACTTACAACTACAAAGACTAAGGGCCAAACCACACCTCATACGGGACAGACGAGGCTGAGACCTGATTTCTGTATCTTGATTTACTCACTATTTGTTTACAATGTGTTCCAGTCCAAGTTAGTGCTTGTGTAGGAGTGTGCAGTCGAGGGCATCCCAGCAGCTTTTCATGCTAAGGCTGCAATTTCACAATACTTTACACCAATTTCCATTACAGCTGCCTTGGATCTCCTTGTCAGCAAATTATTGATCCTATAGCTGTGGTGCAGGATGGCAATAAGAATTCATCCATAAATCATTCAAAGAACAGATATCATGCGGATATCACATGGATGGATAGCTAATGACAGACCACCCTGTGAGCATGGGATTCAAAATACCTCCATTGTCTTTTTAAAAAATTAAAATAGATCTATCTAGATCAATGCATTTAACACAGTTGGTCTAGAAAGAGTCCTGATCTAAAGACGCATAGCAAATCCCCCTTTCACTCAGAAACAAAACAATTAAATTCTTTATATTTCATCAACATTGTTAAAAGTGATGGAAAGTATTATCTCTGCATAAAAAGGGTATTTTGTCTCAGTAAATGAAAAGACATGGTGAACAGCTTGTTCTCTATCTGAAAGGTCATCTATTCATTCTGTTGCACGTCTTTTGGATGATACAATGCAACTATTAAAGTTGGAGGTTTCACAAACATTTATTTGGAAACAGCTGAGCTTGGAGTCAACAACTACATTTTAGTTCTTTCTTGAACCATGTGACTGAGCAGTGATCCTCACAAAGTCAGAGACATTTACAACAGATTATTTCCCTAACTTGCTACTCTATGTAGGTGATATCTGAGTTTCAGCAATACATAGCCATGTGTTCAGAAAAGAAATTAAGTCCTAGTTGAACAAAACTGCAATGCTTATCAATGAACTTCTGCAATTGTTCGAAATAGCATGACTTGATCATACTAACAGGTGATAAAAAAACAATGTATAGGTTTATTTTTATTACACAATTATCTGTTTTCCAGATGTCTATCTTCAATTCTTCAATTCTTCCAGCATCCCAAAGTGTCAGGATGGAAAGAAAGGATGGTTTTGCTATGATATGAGGTTTTTTGCTTTTTTGCTACAACTTCTTGCAAGAACTATGCTACAGACATTATTAATGCAATTCTCTCAAAAAATAGTGAAGGGAAGCCTAACATTTTATGTTTGTTCAGATAACTTACAATTGTTTTTAAGCCCTCTGTTCATCTCTCTCTCTCATGCTCAATCATACATCCCTCCAGTCACAGTTTCTAACAAAAAAAGGTATATCACTCAGCTGACTGGAAATTGCACACATGTATACATAGTGGTTTCTCTTATCCTCTAAATGCAGTGGAAATGCTAAGAAAAGTTCATAAATTATGTTTCCCATGACTTGTATATAGGATAAATTTCTTCAAATTGCTTCTGAACTTGTTTAGAAATTTAAACCCTAAAGGAATGTTCTGAACAAAAAAAGTCTGGATTATACATGTGGTCCATTAATAGCATCACTCATCCGTTAAATTACTTTAACAAGTAAGCAATGAAAGTGCTTTTGCTAGATTAAATATCTATTACCAGACGTCACCTAAAGACTTTACAATAATATTCGTATTTTTAAATGCCTGCACTAGCTTGTAGGTATTTCCCTAAAGTCCTACTGTTCACTGTAACTACCTTCTGTATTTTCTTCCTAAATACCCCGTAATTTAAAATCATGCCAGAATGGTTTTTCATGCCATAGCAGGAATACAAAACTTAAGGGTGTACTAATCTTTCAAAAATAATTTGTTCAAAACAAACAACTGCACACTTGTCAGATGCTTTTGGACACTAACACATGTCCACAAATTATAATTTCTGCTCTTAATCTACTGAGAGAAAGGGTAACCATGAGAGGATTTATTCACAGCATATTATTCATTCTGTTACTAATGGCCACTAAGAGCAGTAAATTTGAATGAGGAAGGGCTCTAAATGTACAAGTTGAGCTGACAATTACACACAGAAGGCTTTTTGTGCTTTTTCCTGTTTAGTCACAGTTGATTTAAGAGTTAAAAAAAGGCAATTCCAGTCAAATCATTAATAATTTACAGTCCATCATAACCCCACTCAGAATGGCAGTGAAACGCATAGCCCTGCTTTTAAATTTTACACTGTGTTCCAGTTTCTGCCTAAATTTGTGACCATTTTCCCTATTGTTCCCATAGAAAAAGTTTTTCTGGGATTTGCAGCAAACAGGCAGAATAAAATGAACAGTAATTGCTGGAAAAGAAAAGCTCCTTTTGGAAGGAAAGTCTTTGTGTAAAAGTCTGTGATGCTATGGGTTTTTTTTTTAATTTCTCTTCTTTATGATTTTTTTATATAATCTTTTTCTTCTAGCCATCAATCTAACTTTTCCTTGTTCCTCACAATTTTCCTTTATTTGGCTAAGCAATTATTACAAAGTATGCAGTTAACTTGCAGCCATGCAATAATTCATTTCAAAAACAATTTCAAGCATTTTAAAGCTTCATTAAGACATGCAACAGAGCAGCATGTGTCCAATGGGCTCCTGCTCTTGCAGTTCTTTGGGGGCAGCCTTAGGCAGTAATCTCACCACACCAATTGAGTGCGAGTTCCATAGGCATAAAAATAATAAAAAAGCAGGCACTGTGCTTGTTTGTTATTAAATAATCAAGATACATCAGCTTCTGCTGAGACAGTTTCTCCCAGGATGTGTGTCCCCTCCTTTCCCCAAGTGAAATAAAGCATCATGGACACCAGCTTTACCAGGAGCAGTTAGTACTGCTCATCCCACTTTTCTGTGATGTACAAGTTCTTCTGCAAAACACATTCAGGGTGGCTGAGGGATGAAAAGCACAGCATATAGATATGGGATGTTCTCACATCTGTGAAATATCCAGGGAACATTTGCTTTCAGCTGGTAACTAAAGGACTCAGCAATACATCTATGTGAGAAGAACTGTGTTGCATGTATAGGGTGATGATAGCCAACAGCAACAATGGTGTATTTGGGGGACAGGAGGATCTAGGGTCCCAGAGACAGTAAATGGTAATATATTTGGATGAACAACACATCATATGTTCCCACCTACTTAAAAAAAAAATCAAGAGTATTCCCTGCTGCTTTTCATGTGTCCACTTACCCCTCTAACCAGATCATACCCTTTCTCTCCAAGAAAACAACTCTTCAAATACTAACTCAAGGTGATGGTGCAATTGTAAATGCCAGGAGGAAAGAATGGGTTTCCTACGTGGGTTTACACACCAAATATTATTCTCCAATAGTTTCTTTTCTCCTTTCTTCACCCTCTTCTCTAGGCAAGGTATCAATTACTAAGGCTTAGGACAGAAATTAATACAGATATGGAAAGAGAAATTGTCCATGGCACACATTTAACAAATCAGGACAGGTGGTACACTTCACGGTTGGAC